GTGATCGCCTGTGTGTGGTCATTAAAAATACCAAAAACAATCCTGGCCCTAGAATTGAGCCTTACGGCCCACCACACTCGACTTCTATGGGGTCAGATAAGGAGCTCTGAAATCTGACCACTTACTGCCGTTGAAGGAGAAAGTTTGCGATCAGTCCGACGGAAATTCTGCGGTGTCGTAATATTTTACTTGAAAAGGAAAATGCTGTGATATAACCGATCGAATGCCTTCGACAAATCCGAGTAGATCACTTCAACGTCTTCTCCAGTATCCGCTGACTCAGTTCAGCTACTTCAACCGACTAGTAAATTCGTTGTGTACGGTCGTCCTCTACGGGAGCCGTGCTGCTCGGGCGTACTGATGTTGCAGTTTTCCAGATACCACATCAGCGCATCGGCATCGATGGATTCCATGACCTCGGAGAGTACAGAATGAAGCGAAACTGGGCGGTATTTTGAAGGCTTGTTCCTGCTTCTATCTTTGTGGATCTGTGTTATTATTCCCAGATTTCACATGGCAGGAACCTGGTTGTGGTCCTAGCGGCTCTGGACGAACTGAGCCAAAGGTTCGGCTAGTTGTCTTGTTGCGGCTCTCGGTGGCTGTGGTCGAATGGTATTGACACCCGTGTGGCTGTGGTTGCGCGGAGATTTCGAGTTTTGCCTGACAGTTTCAGCGGAGAAGAACATGTGGGCGTAACGACAAAGGCTAGTAGATGGCCAGATGACAAGACCCTCTGAAATGTAGAGGCATATGGCGTCTGTATCTCTTCTGATGTCTCTATAGCCGTACTTTGTAGGCCACCAGCTGTCCAGAACGGACGAATTACCCGCCTCGCCTCAAGAAGGCTATAGACGTGCTTGTACAACAGTTTGTGGTTAGTGCTGAAGCTTTTAGCAATGTGTTCCTGACATGCAGGTTTGACTTATCTCAGAACTCGAGTGCAGTGGTTGCGTCTGGCCACGTGGTTGTCCCAACTTCCTGCCCTTTGAGCTCATCTATACGCCCGAGTTATGCTCCTAACGGATGAAAGTGGTTTGGATCCATTGCAAACTCTTGGCTCTGAAGTATCGGTAATCAACTGACTGCTTTTGCTGAAGAAATTAATGTAGACCACTTCCGAGTGTTCTTCGGCAATGAAAGAACTAGGTACTAGCGCTGAACGACTGGCTCGATCGATCGAAGCGTGTGCGGTTCGCAGCGTCTCATAGTTCTCATTCCGATATTCCGCATAGTAGACGAAGTTGAAACTAATGACTGCATGGTCACTGCGACCCTAGGGGCATTTTACAAACAATACATAAATCAGATGTTCTTCTTTGGTAAGCACAAGATCCATCACAGATGGTCTGTTATCCGTTCTGAATCAAATGGGCACAATGATGTGAGGTTAAAGTGGAACCTTGGTTATGAGCTCCTGTAGATCGGCTTTGAATGATTTTCCGATTGTGACAAGGGTTTCTAGACACTGTACACCGAGATCACCCTTGATAATGATGGGAGTGTATCTTCCCTTTAGGCTTCGTCTTAAGGCAGCAGCAATGTGGCAGCACGTTTCGGGTGAATGAAACCACTATTTTTGCCTAGCACAGACGGTCACGAGGACCGTGCACCGGTCCACCAGCAATGATTCACAGTCTCCTGGGGCCAGTAATTGAGTTAGACGATGTTAGACAGATAGGCACCTTGTCAAAATTCACATCCTATCCAGCCACACCGGGAATATCAAACAACCCACATAGACTTCCACTTTAGCTCAAACTATCTCTATACGATGCGTCCAAAGGAGGAAGCAAACGGTCATGGGGTATCACTGTTGGGAGGAACAACACGGAAACATAACCAACACCGAATTTGAAGGAAAGTAAACACGCAAGATTTACAGGAAATCTACAGCAGAATAGCAGGTAGGCAAATAAAATAAGATGAAATAATTTTTCTCCAGATTGCGGTGTAGATTAAGTATAAATTGTTGTAGTCTAACTGCGTTGAAGAAGCATGATGTATGCGACATCAATCTCACCTACCATTCTACTAACGCCCGTCTGTTTTTCTTGAATCTCATTGGTTAAGGAGTACCGGTGAAGTCACGCTTTCAGTCGGTGGCTTTTCTCTTCTACGTGTAAAAGGTGGGCACATGTTCCATTGCGGAATTGGCTTTGCGACTGGCTGTGCAAGACAGCAAGGGGTGAGAATGCACGTGGGGGTCATTGCTGCACAGTTGCATTTCCCAAATTAGCCGCTATCGCGCTACACCGTCACCCGATTGTAGGCAGTCACCTTGACACGAAAGCATACATTTGCACTTGCAAAGCGGGAGTGCATATCCCTGCCTGTCATCAGGCGGGAGCCGTCCGAATAGGACATAAAAACCGTCTGGTGCAATTCAGGATGTCATCTACTGAGCAAATTGACCCAACTGTGGTGAATTCAGTGTAAACCACATAAAACTACAGTAACAAAGTTTATTAATGTGCTATTGTACTAAACCGATTTGTAATCCAAACTTTCCGAAATAACGAATCCTTGTTCAATTCGAAATTCATATTGAGCTACTGAGGCAATGTGCTCTTTCTGTGCAAATGTAGAGCGATGTCTCAATGTCTTAACTGGTGTGTGACAGGATTCTTGGGTCAGTTAAGTTAAACGAGAGGTCGGACGCTAAATGTGAAACATCAAACAAAAGAACACCGCCGTGATATGAAACCCCTCATGTTATCCGTTGAGGACGAAGTTCCTGATGTTACATTCTTTAGTATATCAAACGCAACTGCCTACAAATCTCGCGAAGTGTTCGACCTTCCGAATTAGGAATGGAGGCCCACTTACGAGTTAATTTTACGCGGAAACATGGTGCCGCATTTGACTGCGCAGATTGCCTTGGAGCTCCCACTGTCATCAAATTCCAAGCCTAGTGAAAACTGGCCAAAGTCCGCTGGCAACGGATTCATGTTGGTGTGGATGATTCGCCGGCCATTCGGAACTCTTCATCAGGCCTCACCTGGAATAATGTGTACAACTTGTTCTCCTTGCCCAACCCGGGAAAAGGTGGCCGCGGAGCGGGTCCTGAGGGTCGGAACTAAGATGGTGCATGCATTGTGACGCATAACCTATTCTGAGCGATTGTTTTTATTGGGCGTTTTTCCTTCGCACCATCGATGGCATAGAAGAGACCTGATACTCACCTATAGCATCTTGACGGGTTAAATTGCTCCCGGACATATCTCATTCTTTCCACGGAAAGAGATTGCCAATTCTCCGCGGTCATCAACGAAAGCTGCATAAGCCTCGATCTCATCGGATTGGGACCAACAGGCTATTATCACGTAGAATAATTGTCGCTTGGAACGTTAAATACAGAATACTGGAATTAGAAAGCGAGAAGATGTAAATCTGTGTCGAACCGTCGTAGTTAGATCGGGCACCTACAAGGAAGCACATCGCTGATCTTGCGCGGTGGCAGCAAATTACAGCTGCGCTACATCTTTTACGAGTGCGACACGCTCCCTATGCTTGTAATCCGCCAAGCGGGCGTCGAGGACGTTATATTGACACCAACGGTACGAGAGCTCGAGCGTCGACTGGATGCGCTTTGTTTGCAGCAATAAACCTTCCCTCTATTACAACTTTGTATGCTGTTGTTATCATTTCTGATTTTCGTTTGCTTATATTACGTTGTTTGCTACTGTTCCTTACCTATTTTCCGCCTTATTCCATTACACTTTCGCTACTTCACTTGGCCAACGCAAGGGGACAACTGGAACAGGGCTCGTGGGCATTGATCGGTTGACCGTATTGGGAATGATCTTGAATAAGAAGCTCTGTTAAGAGATTCTGCCCACTCTGTACATGAGCGAAGCCCAATCGACTAATTGCTGAGGCGATGGAAATAGATAAAGCCATTGATTGGATGAAAAATTTTGGGGGGCTTGTTGGGTTTCTCTACTACGTGGAGAGCAGTCTTAAACAGGCCTATCTGACGAGCGTTGATACGCAGGCAGATTAGATAATACAGGCCGACATCATCTTTAACAAGACTGAAATTTTCCAGGCGAATGATGTTGGAACTCATGGAACAGTCCTAATTCAAATGGACGGTTTAAGATGAATTTTTCACATGTATCTCCATGACTTCCTTGTCTCCCGTCTCAATTTTTCCGAAAAGCTCCCTCACTCAGTATAAAATATCATGCCACGTGTGTGATACTTCATCAAACCTGACGATGCGTTTACGTCATACACCCAAGATTGCTAAATAAACAAATCCCTCTGAAACCATTAATTCTCTATCGGTTCCAAGGATATTACATTTGTGCAAATTCTCTACCTCATTATGAGTCTTCTTTCTAATAAGCAGCCGATAAATGTAAGCGTGTGGCAATCTAACCTCACCGTCATCGCTGTATCCGAGCATGCCGAATGCTTTTTTCCGTTTACTTATAAGATAGATGGAATAAGTACCATATGTGTCTAAAATCATGACAATCTATCGCGACATGAAAATTATTGATGGCTCTTCGCTAAACAAATTACATCAGTATACGCTGTAAAACAACCCGATTTCAATAAAGGGAATTTACCAAGATAATCGAGTTTACATTGTTAGCAATTGCACAAAATAACTGTTAATGGCCAGACAATTGCATCTTATTGATCGTAGCGCACAACAATTGAGTTTACTTACGTCCGCCTGACTGCAGCGCCCTGATGCTGCGTGAGGTGGGATGTAGCTGCAATTGTGGACCAATAAACGAGATGGATAGCTAGCTACTTTCTCTCATGCAGATTAGCTTTCTTACTAGAAATAGCCACACCTAAATTTGATTAAAGTAAGCTGAAAATTTGTTCACTAATATCATCGTTACCAACCTCAGCATTTTGACTGGAAATACTTCTATCAAACTCTTCAGTTATGTTCTCTTTAGCGCTTTCTTTAAATTTTCTGAAGTCATTCCCCATGTTGTTCGCGTAGAATGCACTAAATTATCGTTTCCTGCTTTCCAGGAACTTGATCCGTGCTTCCCAGATAATCCTTGTGTTGGTCCAGCATCCACGTGTTACCCAGTACGAAAGAAAGTCGAAGAAAATGCACACTCGTCGCTTGCGATAATCACCAACTTCAGCTGTGTCTGTTCACCCGGCTACACTGGTCGTTACTGTGACGTTCGTATGGACTTCTGCACGCCTAATCCGTGTTTAAACGGCGGCATTTGTTTGAACAGGGAAGGCGATTTTATATGTTTTTGTTCACAAGGTGAATGGATATGAAATGTAACGATTCATATCGTATTTGTTGTTGCTCCAGTAGCCTGATTACTTTATGTTGTACTTGGTGCACTCCTAGCTAACATGTAAGGGTTGATTTAAACACAAATTCCACTTAGTCTGTTTGTTGGCATTGCACATGCACAGAGTATATATTCCACTTGTGCAAGTCTTTGGTATCACAAATCCAGCTCAAATGGCTAAGCTGCTTAATTATGGACGTGACAAGAAAGTCTGATATTGTGAAAAATCGATATTAGCCCACCATTTATTACCCTATTTCAAAGGAGAAATAGGTGGAGTTAACTGGTTTCAGTAGATTCAGTCAGTGTAATGTTCATCCGCTGGAGGGTTCAGAGAGCTTCCGTGGGTCGTAATATGCCGATGGGACTGAGAGGTAAAACAGTTACTTCATAGGCGGCTGGCTGGTTTCCTCATAACCACCTGGTAAGAGTCGAAATTGGATGGAGCGTGCTCCGGACTTACATCTAGTGGCGAGCTTGATGCCGTTGCCGCAGCTGCCGATGTAGAAAGGAGCATGAGGTGACTGGATGGATGACGTGAGAACACACAGGCGCTCGTTATCTTGGCAGCAAGGCAGACGAACTAAGAAGAAAAAGAGAAGAGGAAACGATGTTGACCTGCTGGGCTAGACTCGAAGACATATTACCCGTTGACTTTATACAGGGACTGTTTGGCGAGCTACAGCCAGACAGCCACCACACACCCGGGAAAGCATTGTACTGCTGCTTCATCCTTTTGGGGATCGTCAGTAGTACGTATGTTGTCTGAGCCCTGCGGGGTTAGAATCTGCAATCCGAATATTACTACTCCGAGGTTAAGACCATTGAGCATCGGGTTACGGTAATGACCATGGTGACCAAGGTTCACCTTGGATTCTGTTAATTTGCAAGGCAGCGTGGAGAATAAATCCTTCTACTGGTTCAGGTAAAGTTGCAGATACGATTTCACGCTAGGGATCAGTTGGTTGGCATATATTAACACATACTTATTCAGTGCAGTGAAACCAACTGGTAACTTCCGAATTATGTCTGTTTAAGTCAAGGTTGTCGAATATATATTCTTGTGTTACCATCTCTAGCCAGACCTTATGACGCAGGGTATCAGATAACCTTAACTCCTTATTTTAGTCCATCGGGAACTGAGACTAACGACATCGGTGACTGCATCGAACTCTCTTCTCTTAATATTAGATCATGCAGCCACTTCAAGTGAATTATGCTTGGCCTCCAGAGTGATAAACCGCAAAATTTATGTATAGTAAAGACGCTTGTCGCGCCCCACTTGAGTAAAAGGTATTTCTCATCATGTGCGGTACGTATGCTTTCTTTCCAGTTGGTTGATAATTACACCATCATGACGCTGTAACGTGCTTATCCATAATTAAAGGCACGGAAAGAATACGAAAGCTGGTAGATACAAGCATTTCGCATGTCACCTCGGTGCGGTTAAAAATGACCGGTATGCATAGATACGTACAGCTAACAGTGGTTGCGACTGGACAAGCTTGATGTGCAGTGTGAATGAAAGAAGATTTTCCCCAAGTTCAGGGCAGCATTAAGCCGACAAATAAATGTTCATAAACGCTTCGTCCGACTTATTGCAACAGTCCCGGCAAACCGATGGAGTGGTGGATTAGCCTGATGTGACACGATTTTAGCACTGTAACCCGCTGTATCCAGAGAACCGAGACTAGGTGCTTGTCTATCGAGAAACCCGCGACCTGTACAATTACGGAATTTGAGGAAGTAGTGGGTCTGGAACATTTCACGCAAGCCCACATGGGCGCAATTCAATGTATTCTTGAAGTCAGAATACGATTGTATATGCTTGTGTAACTGACTCCACAGTCGAACACGAATGGATATACGAAGTGTGAGTTGGCTCCGATAGGCTGAGCTTCTTTATTTGGAGTTACGGACAAACTTCCGGTACGGCTAATGATGATAGCTTGTGAGCACAGCAGCTTCTTTGCGTAGTCGAGATTGTGGACTCTGTTTCCTTTAACGTGGTTAAATCACCTTTGAAACCTAATGAGAACTAAGCCTTCTTCTTAGATGCCGTGTGCACCAAGCTCTTCGGCCCTTATGGTTGGCTGTGTTTCGTGATAAAACTGAGTGTAGCCGTCTGCTATAACGCTAGCTTATCGGACAAAATATTGACGGAGCATGTCTGTCTGTTCTGACTGGCTAGGCACTTCACATTTCTACCAATAAATCAACCACTATGATTATCCTGCATATATTAAGTTAGCGGTTTTAAACATGGATTACACAGCTTGCTTGATACAGCTATTAGCTCGAAGGACATTTGGAAGCAATAACTATTTGTCGTAATGTTTGTTTCAGAACTTAATTTACTCTTTCATAGCTTATTATAAAATCCATCAAAAATACCCCATGGTGGCTGTCAAACATGCTGCCCTAGAAACTTATTGGTGATGGCTCCCCTAATATCAGAGCACAAGCTACTGCACCACTCGTTCTCTGGAAGGGATAAATTCCATAGCCAAATAAGGACAGCGACGCTATTTAAAAGCAAGTGGAAAGGTTTCTGTACAACTCTACTGAATTATGCAAAATCCAAATCATTTAATTGCGACTCGTCAGCGGTAATTTTTGGTCAGTTAATCGTTTATTCTTGTTCGGTTAGGAATTCGTATTGGTGTCACTATTTACGGGTATAGGATGCATTATTTTGTATTGTATGTGCACTGTTTCACAAAAGCACAAGTTTCTGAAATAATTACCGACACGTGTTTTAAAATCTTCACTCCTCTATAAATACTTCTGGGAGTGTATTTCATAAGTTTAGGATTCTTTGTTCTTTCCGTTTTCAAATACTTCGCTTTATTTTTGCCCTCGATTCGCTTATCCTACTCACACTTCTATTTAGCACTTGTTGGCCCAGCCGCAAGACATTGCATCTGATCGATTGCAACTCGAATGTCTATCGATTTCATTGTAACGCGCGTATGCGGAGACAGTTTTTCCATACATACATTCCGGTGCTGCTCTGGTCTGCTGCTTTTTCGGGATACAACAAATTGGCGTCGCGTGTTATCGATGTCTTTGCATGCCACTGCTCCTGCACCGTTCTGGACTGACTCTGTGGTTACCCCGAATGCGGAATGAAAGGAAGAGTGGAAAATTAGTTGCTGATTTTATTTCTGTTACCAATCCATCCGTGACCCTGAAAACGGATGACACTTTAAAGCTTTTGCGATTGCACCTAGGCCCAGAGGGTTGACGTATACTTCATGCTCTAAACCTGCGGGAAGAACCAATATTGACAGAGGCCTTATTGTCCCTCGATAAACATTGGGGCGTTCAAGTGAACACTAATAATTCTCAGTAAAATTTTTCCCAGCTGAAACAAGCATCTAGTGAATCAGTGGATGCATTCATTTCCCGCCTTGTTTGTTCTGTTCAAAATTGTGACTAGATTGTATTGCTAAGAAAAAGTGGAAGAAACTTTTCTAATACAACAATAGATTTCTGGCCTCGCGGATTATCGGATCAGAAAGTCTCTTAATGGAGAACGTAGCAAAGCTCACATGGGACAGGGCCTGTGACGTGGCTCGCGCGAAGGTCGCAGTCACAGAACAAAACAAAATTTTGCTCTATAACACAGAAGCAACTGAAATTGACCGTTTGGCTTCTAGGCGCTCTCTGACACGATCCTCAGTTAGAAATAAGTGTCACCGTTGTGGAAATGCGGAACATCTTTCGAATGATGTCATATCCTACAAAGAGTGCAGTTGGCCGGAATTGTGGTAAGACCGATCAATTTGCTCGAGTTTGTCGTTCCCGCGTCATTATTTTAGTTGGTTCTACAAATGACTCTAGAGCTGCTTCGGTCACTACTGAACAATCCACTTATGGCGTTAATAAATGTGAACATCCACTTTCGTCTCCAACTCAAGAACCCAAATTGCTCTCGCCAGATATTCGTCATATATTTTTTGAAGTTCGAAATAAAACCATTTGTCTAGACATGCAATTAGATTCCACGTCACCAATCACAGTTGTACCGTATTGTTTTTACAAAAAGCATTTTGGTCAGTTAACTGTACATCCTTCTGCTTGAACTTTCAGCAGCTACTCAAATGGTGATGTCCACATACTCGGTTTTGCTTCGGTTTCCACGTTTCTTCTAAACAACAGGAAGCGTATAGTTGAAGTTTACGTTGCTACAACTGATAGTAAGAGTTTATTGAGATGTAACGCCATGGTCTTATTGAACGTATCACCATGCGTGAGCCGGATGACTATTGCCAGCGTCAGTCTTCATTCGTTACGGATATTGGCAGAGTTCCAAAAGCAAGTTTCAAAAGCGCATTCGGTTGAGTGCGGATTACAAACCTTTCAGCATTTCACAACCTAAGTCTATACCTCTGGCCAAGCGAGAGGCGTTGTCGCAAGCTTTGAAAAATATGGTCACGGAAGACTTGATAGAACTCATACAGTGTTCTGAATGGGTTCATGCACTATTTACCGTTCAAAAGAAACATGGATTTATACGTCTATGCACTGAACTTGGAGCGCTTAATCGACATATAATTGTAGACAAATTCCCTCTGCTTTCTCTAGACGAATTGATGGTTAGGCTTTGAACGCTAAGCTTTTCTCAAAGCTGGATATTCGCAGTGCATACTACCACATGACACTGACTCCAGAATGCCGACATTTGACTGCTTTCCTCACGCAAGACGGGTTGTATCAATGCAAAGTGCTACCAATGTGCCTTACTAGTTCCCCAGCAGCTTGGCAGAAATTTATTACTTTATCGCTATCAGATATCAAAGGATCTGCTGTGTATATGGATGATATTTGTGTCTTTGGTAGTAACTCCACCGAACATCAGGGAAACATGAGTTGCTGCATGGACTGCGTGAACTAAATCTCGGCAAGCGATGCATGACGGCTGCATACAGCGTTTTCCAATAGTGCTATTGTACAGACGAAC